AAGAATTTGTAAAACAATCACCATTCTATGAAAACTTATTTCTAGTATGTAGATAAACTCTTTGTTATCCGTTTTTCTATAATTCATTTTTTTTTTAATATTTTAGATAACAAAACCATCAAATGTACTATTCACAAATGTTTACGGCGTACCAACTCTATCCAAAACTGATTGTTTTTATAATAATCCAATGTCAAACTTTTACGCGTATGTCTAGTGCAATCAATTTATTCTCAAATGAAAATATTTATTCTTATAGTTCTACTTTATCACAACAAGAAAATAAAACATTTCATAATAGACAGACGACATTAGAATTACATGAAAATTCCATGACATTATCGCAACCAATTAAAGCAAAAAGGTAATAAAATAAAAAAAATGTTATCATATTTTTATTATAAGTTTTCTATTTGTTTATCATTTTCAGTCCATCCTTAGATTTTATTCATATCAACGCAATAGATGGCAGACGTCCTGCTAGTGCTAGTACTTCATTGTCTCGTGATAGTGGTTTACCAAAATCTTCATTAGATTATTCTTCAAATGTGTCAATCTCACGTTCTCTAGTTCAAGAACAAAATTTTTCAACACTTAAAAATAATAGTCATTCTTATAGAAAATTACAAAAATTAAATTCACAACGTTTAAAACCAATACGACAAATTGCACGATTAATTATGGTTTGTATATTATAATTTTTAACTTTTTTTCTATTCAAAATAGTGATAAAATTTTTATTTTTCTAGTTTACTATCTTAGAAAATGGTGAAGTTGTAATAGAAACTCTAAAAATAAAAAGAAAAAAAAAACGAATAATTGATGTTTGCCGAATATCAATGGATGGAAATAAAGTAATAGACAATTTACAATTTGTTGTACATCATTTTATTCACTAATTTAATTATTTTTTTAGATAATTACCTATTCTCCAACGAATTATTCGTTAACTAATAATTATCCAACACCAATTCCAAAAGATAAAAATTCTTATCAAGAATATAATTTTGATAATTTGCCAGAAATTCATTGGAAACAGTATCAACATGCATACAAGTAAAAAAAAATAAGAATATTTATAATAATAACATATTTTCTTTCAAAATGATAAAAAGTATATTTTAGATTTGTTAATGTTATTCGTTCTCGTACACCCAAGATTCATCTAATTACACCAGAAGCAAAATGTCAACTAATGGAAACATCCGTGGATTTTGATGTAATTATTATCATAAAACTATTATTATTTTATTTTAGAAAAATAAAAATATTACTATTCATTTTAGATCAATTTTTTATGCGGTATTAGAATACAGATTTATCGTGAAAATCTTAATATTGATGATCGTTTAAAAGTTAAATTAACAAATGATTTAGATAATTCAACAATTATTTTAGACTATGAAAAAGCAACAAAATTAGGATTAAGTGAACAATTTACAACACCGGAGTTACAAAAAATATTAGAAAATTCACGTCGAGTATGTTCAATGATTTATACGAAAATGAATTATTAATTTGTTGCTCTTTTCTTTTTTCTTAGTACTATAATTATTGTCTATCGAAGGATTGTCGATTAGAAAATGATCAACAATTATTTCCACATATTCAAACATTTCCTGTTTTATTCAATGCACAATTGGGAAAAAAATTAAATCAAGAAAATTCGAATAGATCGAGTACGAGAATGAATTATGTATTCATAATTTCTTTTTTTCTATGTCACATATACATTACCATACATATTATTTTTAGATTTATCTTTGTCACTTACTCGCTCTCGATCTCAACAACTTGGTTCCTCTTCTACTATTAATGAAATCGATCATTTTTCAACGTTACCCATTAAATGTGGATTTGCTGTTAGTGATACAGATATTTGCTCATCGTCTCAACATGTTTCATTTAGACGACTAAATGTTCATTATAATTCTACGAACACGGATCACACGGAACAATCATCCATATTATCAACTTATCCATCAACTGCATCATTAAATTCAAATGTATATGATATTAACAGTTATAAATGTAAGATGAGCAGTGTTTCTGATGTTGATTGTATATATCAACAAGTGGATAAAAATTTTTAATTTCAATCCCACGATAATACTTCAATGAAAATAAATGAAAATATTAAATAATAGCGTTACATTGATCCAAATAGAAAATATTTTCATTTTGACCAAGAGACTATTCATTTATTGTAACACTATTTAGAACCCTCCCTTGTCAGAAATATAGATTTCTTCATAAAAGGTTGATATTGCGATAAACTCATGACTGCATAGCCCAATGAGTCTACTTTTTGAATCCATATTATTACACATTTCGAGGGGTTTTGAAGACATCTTCTAAAATTGACTTTTCTGAAATTTCGATATTTCAGCAAAATGCTAAAACTAAAAATGATTCCAGTGGTACCGATCTGTAATGTATTAGTTAAAATCCCCTAGCTTTGAGAGATACTTCAACCAAAAGTTATTATGACAGTTTTACTAAGAGTCCTACGAATCTGTACGGCTCGCATTTGTCTGAAATTGACGCTAAAAGCCGTAGTAATGCTGACTTTGTACTCGTCCTCCTTTCCTCTCAAATAAGATTTTCTCTTTTTGCATCTCCTTTTGCTCATATTTTCCTCTTTTTCCTCCTTTCTAGTAAAACACAAACAAAGTTGCGTGATTTTGAAACGTTTAATTAAATAGATTTCTTACGTTTCAGAATAGATTCCAGCCGGTCAGTCGGTATTTTGCTGTTCCGTTTGTTAGGTCAATATGCTTTGGGACTCTTTTATATAGAGAGAAAAGACTCAGTCGGTGCAATTTTCTTCATAATTCTAATGCATTTTTTTACAGGAAAGCTATATTAATCAGAATGATTGAGCCGACTATTCTCTACAAATGGATGTGAAAAATAGCTAAAAATCCATGATTGTCTTTCGAATATACTCATATGGGCGTCAAGCAATTTCTTGACTCTTTCCCTCTCTCTTCTATACTTGAAAAAAACCCGAGGTGACTCACTTATATGGGTAGAACAAAAAAGAGTAAATTCATTCAAACACATCTAGTTTTCAAAGAGAAACTTCCCCAAGCCTCCGAAAACAGATTTGAACACGACTCTAAGTGTAGAAGTTATTTAGCTACCGTAGTCTGACAAAAACTAAACTGCTAAAATACAGGTTTTTTGAAAAACTAAAATTCTATGTAGTTTATCTATCATGTTAAATTAGAGTTTTCAGCTTGAAATTTACATCGTCCTTTTGAAAGTTTTAGATTTCTCGTTAACTCCTCTTTTTTTTGGAAAAATTTCAGTACAAACCCGGTAGTAATGACGTAATAGATTTTTGATTTAGGCGATAGTTTTATCGATACTCGGATTTTTGTGAAAAAGATTTTGAGTTTTCAGTAGCTCATTAATGGAGGCCGTTTTTTGGATAATTGTATTAGATCAAATGAAATCGTTAGTGTCATTGTAAACTATTGCACTGTTAACTTTCTGCTCGTTCGCTCCCTTCCTCTATCTCCCTCTGATCAAACACATGATTTATGAAGAATCAGAAAGTGAATTCATGAAACACGAACCATTTCTCATCCAAAGATATAAATTAATTGAAATATTCGATAATTGAATCTTGTGTATCAAATTTAAATTATGAAAAAGTGAATCAAAAAGAAAAATATTTTATCTACTTTTAAGTATATTCATTTTTTTTTTACTTTATTATTGTTGTAAACATTTTTATTTTGTCAAATATTTTCTTCTCATTTAAAACAATGGTGATACTGAAGCACACTTTTTTCCAATTCAGATTTTGTTCACACATTGTTTTCTCAGGGTATAATCGTTTTTTGTTTTGTTTTTATTTTCAATTTTATTTTATTTATTAGAAATAGAATTCTAGCTTATTGTCATGGAGAATACACGATAGTTTTTTGATAAAAAATTTTTTATGTTCATTTAAAATTGTTTATTTTTACGATAATCTACGATCATACAAACGTGTATGTTTTCGAGACATTTTACAGGGATTTTTATCTATCTTTATGAACACACGTTGTTTGTATTTCGTTTTTGCTTTTTTTTGTTATTTTGTTTCATTTTTTGAAATAGATGGGGAATGGGGTCATAAATGTAATTCTATTAGATATTTGTGTAAACACCATTTTAAGACTGTATATTATCACAAACGTCAAAATCTGTAGGGTTCGTACTATTCACTTTCAAAAAATAGGAACAGGAAAGGATTTTTCTCCTTCGAAAAACAGAAAAGTTAATAATGTTTTTTCAAAAAATACAGAAAAATAAGCGAATGCAGAAAAATGACAAGTGAGATTTATCACCAATATGTTAAATAATGTATTGCTAAGCATAAACTAAAAATTTACTTGACGTTATTTAAAAAATTTTATACAACATTCAAACATGGTTATAGATAATCGTAGATATCAAGCTTATATCTCTTTTATTTATCCGTCCAGTAGTATTATTGTTGTTTTCTTCCATCTTCCTCTTTTTCTATACGTACAACAACTAGAGGTGAGTGGAACCACCCTTTTTTGGTTCCGTTTCCGTAGAAAATTGTTTGATTCCGATGAAAACTTTGATCATAGAACATGAAAAAATTTTCCCCTGCTGGCGAAAAGTTCAATGCGACTTTTTACTATTGTATTGCGTTATAGAGTTTTCTAGGGCCTTGCAATAAAAAATTTGATAGTAAAACGAGTTTGAAACTCACATTAGAATTTGATTCTACAACGAAAGTTTTACTTTTATGGACTCAGTTTTCTTGTGCCTGATCCCGGTCCCAGTCCCACCGGAATCGGAACTGTCCCGTCCATATCTAACAACAATATCATACTTCATTTTACTTTTCTTTACTCTTCATTGTTTCTTTTCTCATTTTTTTTACTTCTTTCGTTTAGTATTGTGACATGAGTATGTAGAATTTATACAGTCAGTCTGTATGGAGACATTCTGGTCCTGAGTGTATACGTCATTTATGTTAGTCTTCTCTTCTCTTGGTTGACTGAAAGAAACTGAAGTAAGAATATTTGTCTAGCTGGCTGATTGGATTCACGCTAGAGGCAGAGATTTTCTAACAGATTTTACTTCAGTAAACAGTAAGACTGCAGAAAAATGTCAAAACAGGAAAATTTCGAAAATACAGGATAAAACAGAATGTTTTCATACAAAAACAGAACAAATACGAAGCCTGAAATCTTAATATATTTATTTATAAACTTTAATAGAAAACGAAAACAACAACAATAACAATAAATTTATTTCCATAGAGTCATTCGATTTAGATTAATTTCATGAATACATCGATATTTTATTAATTTATTTTTAATTGTTTTTATAGTTTGTGCATTTTTAAATATCATCGTTTCACCATAACTATTAATATCAAAATAGGTTAAATATTTCAAATGATTTATTAATTTATTTACATCTTTTCCTTTAAAATACCATAATGTTTCATTAATACATTGATATTTTTTAAAATATAATCGTTGTAATTTTGGAAAATATTTTATTAAATAATCTAAAAAATAATAATGTTCACCATAAAATGCTAATTTTAATTCAATTAAATTATTTATTAATTTTTGAGATTTTTCTTTATAATAGATTAATAAATCTAATAATATTTCATAATCAATTTTTAAAGATTTTAATTGAATTGGTAAATTAAATATAAGTTTTTTCATTAATATAAAACATGGATAAATATGTAAATTATGTCGAATATGTGCATGATCATAATACATTGTTAATTTTGTTATATATTTTAATTTAAATTTATTTAAATCATAATTGTTGTACAACTAGAATAAATTAATAAATACATACACATAGAATTATAAAAGAGAAAAATATGTTTTTATCTATCATTTTTATTACTGACCATTCTTGTTTCATCTTCTAATTTATGATTATTATTTTGATCAATATCTCCTTCATCATATTCATCAATAAAATTAATGTCAACATGTTTAACATTTATAAATAAATCATTTAATAAATTTAAAATTGGAATCGATGATTGTAGAGAAATTTGTTCCAAAGAAATATGTTTAACATTTTTCCATAATAAATATTCTTCAATAGATGATGATATGTTCAATTTTCGTTGAAGAAAATAATTCGATACATTTGGAAAATAATCAAAATAATAGGGTAATGAATAAAAATAAACATGATATTCAGAATCTAAATAACCACCGACAAATTGTTTTGTTGAAGAAAATGTTGACAATAGATCATTTATATCATCATTATATCCACCTGAAAAAAAGATGAGAAAGATGTAATAAACAAGAAAAAAATAAATAAATAAATTTATTAAAATATGATAATGATGATAAAATGCTTACCATCCATATACCAATGAAACTTTTTCAATTGTTTTAACATTGATATACTCAATTTTTCTTGAAGATAAGTGCCATCAATATTAAAATGACAATCTTCTAACCATAATATTAATTCTTCTAAATTTGGCAAGTTTTTTAACAATACTTTTAAATGATCATCATATATAAAATTTTTAATTTTGAATGTAAAAGATTTTAAATGAGGAACTTTAAATGAATAATCAATATTATGTGCAATTAAATCTTGTGGATCATATTCTTCCTCAAAATCATCATTTTTAGCAATACATTGATTTAAACGAATAGACAACGATTCAATTTGAGGAATATAATCAAATATTGGTAAAAATTGATTAAAATTATCAAAATCTATGGTTAAATCACGTAAATTGAGACATATTGGACTAAAATAGAAAAAAAGATTTGATAATCAATATATACTTATTATCACTAGATATCTTCTCTCTTTGATTACGAGAAGAATAAAGACAAGAAGATTGACTCTAGAACAAACTTTGTAAAGACAAAAAATGTATATTGTTATCCTCATTCAGATAATGAAATGAAGTTATTATTAGTAGTCAATAAGAAAAACGTTTAGTTTTTTGTTTAAAAATGTTGATGCTATCATTCTAGTGACAAACTGAGCTGAATGAAACATGACAAGCATACTATAGGTATGTGTATCCACAAAAATAGACTATACATCCGATATCACAAATGAATATAAAGAATGATTTGTACATTTGATTAAATATGAACTATAAAAGTTGTTTTCAGGAACATTTTTGTACAGCCGAACTATTTATCAATATTAGCAGAATCTGGTCGATATCACCAGAACAATCAAATATAGTCATAGTAACATATTTATCCATTGATACACACGGATAACATCAAATTACTCATGTATATTAGTCCGCAGAAATTGAACGTGAAACACTAATTTAACATATGGCCTCATGTAGACTAGTTACAATAAAGAGAAACATAAATTCGTTGACGTATTTCACCATTATCTTTGGTACAAGGAGCGATGGCATACATTTAAGAACTGATGATGTTTTTTTTTTTGGTATTATACTATGCAAGATGAAAGTCTTTGTTAGACATACACTTTTCTCGAAAACAAGCTAATTTAAAAAAAAATCGACCTTGATAAGTTTGTTCGTTCTCTTCTTTGCGTGGAACAAGAAAGCTTATTGGTACATCGTTCTTAAAAAAATGTATCTTACTAAACAATAGGTGAGGCTCTAAAAATTGAGATACGTTAGAAAATATTCATTCAGCATGTAGTGAGTTAATATACTGTGTTTCAACAACCCTCATTTTTGGATCTTTTGAGAAATTCTAAAAAATCTTCAAATATTCTCTCTATTCACAGTAGGAAGTGATACATATTTTAAAATAAACAATTCAAGCTACACATTAGCAAATTAATCGACATATTCGTGTTCTGGTAGTTTCTTTATAAGAAGAAACCCTTAAAAAAAATTATTCAGTTTTACAAAATAAATGATACAATATTCTTTTGACGATTCATATTACACGGAAACCATCAACACTGTAGCATGACTAAGACTGTTTTTCCTATATTAACATTTGAATTAACTATTTATTGATCGATAANAAAACAGAATGTTTTCATACAAAAACAGAACAAATACGAAGCCTGAAATCTTAATATATTTATTTATAAACTTTAATAGAAAACGAAAACAACAACAATAACAATAAATTTATTTCCATAGAGTCATTTGAATTAACTATTTATTGATCGATAAACACGCAACACAAATTGTTTTCTATGTATAAATCATTTTTACTGTACAATAACGGATACTGTTTACGTTTATTTTATTAGGAAAGTCTTAATGGAATGGATTGTCCATGTTTAATTTACCTCGATTGCTTATTGATAACAGTATCAACTGGTAAATTCAATTTTAATGAACATGTTTCAAGTTGACATTGATTTGAAAATATTGTTTGATATACTTTTTGTATAATATCGTTTTGAGTTGTTCCTATGTCTATTTTTAATTCTCTTAGTGATCGAACAAGTTCAGGTAAATATTTGATGACAAATTGTTCTAAATCGACAATATTCGAGATTGTCAATGATGCTATACTTGAATTTTGTAGAATTGATGATAAACAAGTTGATGTTAGAGTAGAATCACTGCCTAATTTCACTGAACGAGTATCCGGTGACTGGGTATAGTATTCTTGAAGTAATTGATAGGGAATGGATGATAAATCAATGGATTTAGTATATTTATCAATTAAACAAGAAAATCGTTGATTTAAATTCCTGAATGTGTAAACAACTTGAATTGGATGTAAATAATCAAATATATCATATAGAATCTCATTGGCTATATCTTCAAATCTTGCACTAAAATATAAAAAAGTAATAACTATTCCAGTACTTGTAAAACATCAGTTCATTTACAGTTTGCCTAAGAACCCGAAGTCGAAAAGAAACTTGATGCAAAAATACGGCTGTTAACGCTATTCAAGCTACACTCAAACTGAAAACTACATCTTACCAAGTGTCTGACTGAACATGTGTAATTAACGATTTACTCTTTGTTGGAACATTTCTCGTTGTTGTTGTTTTAAAACCAAGTTTGAATGATCCATTCATGCCTCTTCCTGATGTTTGAATGAAATAATTTCTTTTTAAACCATTTTTCAAAACAAATTTTAAATTTTGATTTGCAATCAATGGATCAACATCATAATGTGCGAATATATAATGTAACAAAGCCGTTTTTGATGAACCAGATTCATGATCATTCAACTTGATTAATGCTGTTTTAATCATTTGAAAATAAGATGGATGTTTTGAAAAATCACGACGAGATAACGACATCTATGGAAAGAGGAAATTTTGTCAGTAAGCTCCATAAAATACACTTCGCGCTTTCAACCGCTTAAGCCAAAATAATTGTGCATTAGAGAGTTTTAATAAGATCTGCTCCATAGTACATCGGCTTGGTGTAGCAAGTTTGATACTAAAATTTGTTCTGCAGCTTGAAAGTCTTTGATTTCATAACGATTTACTTCTCTGCTAACATTCGAATAACTGAACACCCTTTGCTTTTCAACACGTAATATAAAAGAAATTTCTCGGTGATAAACATCCGAAAACTTTACTTACGTTTCTAAATTTCAACATACAACTAAGCTTCTAATGAATAATTTAGAATACAATCATGTTTGTTTGAAGGTGTAATAAATGTAAAAAGCGATAACCTATGTCAATTTTGTGTCCTGCAAAACAGAAAAGAAGAATATATAGTTAGACAGACATGTGACAACAATGTTGTCAAAACAAACGAACGAATTAAATGAACGTAGAAGTATTTCTTAATTAGATAGAGAAATTTTAACTTCAGATATACGCATGTAGTTTAACATGGGTTTTCTGTGGGATACGTCTGTATATAGCTCGTTTCAGTATTACATTATATAAAAGCTGGGATGATGTGCCTATGCTTATCGTTCACAGTACCAAAAGTTATCCAACTTTCTTAAGAAAATGTATAGAATCCAAAATATTTTCGACGCAGGGTTGCTACACGAGAGTGGCAAATCATTACCTGTAACACCATTTTTATCTGTACAACCTATGCCCGTCCAGTGTGACCTTAGTTGACTTTCCTGTAGAATATTCGGCAAAAGTTCGTGCAAAAACAAAGAATCCTATAAGACTCTCTGGAATGTCCTGGTGAAATCCTGTGGACATTCCGTTTTAGCAGGAGTTTCGAGAGATTTTAACACAGATTAGACACAGAGTATGTGAAAACTATTGATTTGATTCCAAATTTTTAAAGTTTTTCGTCACATAACTGATCGATTCACTATTAAAAGACTATCTTATAATAGCATAGACTGGAGACGCAATGTTTCTGATTTTTGGTGAGATTCGGTATCAGTTTCAACCATTACCAGGCTAAATAAGTACCGTCGGCAACCAGAGCGGGTATCCGTTCTGATGAGAAATGTTTTCGAGCTGATTTCATCCTGTTCTAAACTACAAAAGCTATAAAAGTCGCCGAGTTTCATCAGGTTCTTTCCACTTTTTCTGTGTGGTGGACAGTTTTTCAGCAACCTAATTTAGTAATGCAAATTCATTGGATGGAATTTTGGTAATAAGCAACAACGAGAAAACAACAACTACTTAGAAAAAAACATTTAGCTTTCAAATGTACATACAAACCTACCCTTTAACGCAAAAACATCCTTGTCTTGTTTGTTTTTGCTTGAGTGAAATGAACCAGACTTAAGCTCTAAGATCTTGCCATTTTGAGTAGAGGCTCTAATTACTAAACTACTTAGGCCAAATATCCGTGAAAGTCCGTGTGTATCTGTCTCATCATTAATTTTTGATTATATTTACTTATTCCCAAAAGAAATTTGTTTACAGCATATTCAATAACGTTTCTTTTTATCTAGAATTAGGGTTCCTTAAAAAATCATGCGTATGTTTTCCTTCAATTTCTATTTTTAAATTGTACAAATAAAGTAAAAAATATTGCGCAACTGTCTTATTACCCCTCTTCCTTACACACATCTTTTAGTGCGCCGAATCAACCTTGTTTTGACAAACAAAACTCAAAAAATCTCTAAAAAGATGCTGAATTGATCGTTGTTGGATCCATTATGAGCTTTACATGCATCGACTGTAGCTACTATTAATGGATCATTATTTTCATAGCACATACAAATAAAGTAAGTACGTATTTGATGTGATGTGTGCTGTTTTATCTAAATCTATGATAATTGAATGGATCACGCTTTACGAAACATGAAGCTACCTGCAAAATGTATGGGTTATTGTACATAGTTGAACAATTTTTTTGTGGAGTCGTGCATTACAATATATGCAGAGAAGGAAATGTTTGTGTTTGAAGTAAGTCGAATGTTTTTCTAGAGCATTTTGGAAAAACAAGGTTATATTCGAATCATTTATCATTCACTGGATATCTTTAAACTTCTTATAGACTTGACATAAACTGAAAAGTTTTTTATTAGTTATTGTTTCTTGAAAATATCTCTATTTATAATGAGTTAAAGATACCTTCATTAGACAACTATAATGAATCTAAATACACTGCGATTTAACTGAGCTTGAAGTGAAATATAATATAGAGTAAGAAAATATTAGTTGTTCAATTCGTTGGAGGAGGGGGGAGCGATTTGTCGAAGTGTAAATAATAGAATAATCAGCTTCTTTTTTCTTTTTTTTTCTGGTATTTGCTTCTGTATTGATGATAAATGCCTTATCCAACTGGAATTTACAAGATGATTATGTTGATGTTCGCGAACATCAACATAATCATGGCCGCGGCCATTTCGGACTTTTTGTTGTTTTTCTCTATGGTTTTTAGATGTTGTTTTCAGAGCCGTGGCCAAAGGAGGGTAAAAAAAAGTTTCTCTTTAACAATCTCTTGTCTCTCTAGAATTTCGTCTGAGCTCTTGCCCAGATCTGGTAACCAATCTAATCAGAATTTAACAAATACATGCTTTCGTCCACTTTGTCTCGCAAAATAGCTGAGAACAAAATTTTTCTCCCATTTTTCTTCAATGAGCAAAAAAGCTCAAATTGATATCAACATTATCATTTAGTTATTGTGTTGAAATTATGATAATAGATGATGTTGTGTTCTAAAGAAGAATTTTTTTGTAAAGCAGGGAGGCGTACATTGTGTCACATTGATCACCGTCACGGCTCTGTGTTATATTCTATTCGATTTTATGTCATTTTAGATACAGCTGTTCAGTGATGATTGAAGTGTGTCAGATATGAGAAGTATAGCTTTCAAAACTTCTATATCTCGAACATATGTTAAGGGTAGTGGCACAGTCGAAGATTAAGGGGATGTACAATCCTCCTTTATTCCAGTACCTCCGTTCTAAGGACGTAACAAGTGAGCGAGGATAGATGAGGGTAATCCCTATTCTACTTTCTAAGATCGTAGTACAAGAAAAACCGTCGGTAAACTGTTTTGACACATTCACCTTTTTGTTCTACGGTTGGTAGTCTATATAAGAAACACAGAAAAGCCAAAAAGCTTTGATTTCTTTTTAGATTAAACTTTCTTTTTCAGGTTGTAGAGACTCGTCGGAGTTTGCATTTCGTCTTGAGTCAAGTTTTTCCCGTTCGGGTACCTCATTGCGCTGCATGCGCACTGCAAAAAACACAGAAAAAAGAAAGCTGAGTACTAGATTCGAACTCCTGTACTGTTTGCTCACACTAATAAAATACCGGTTGATACCGCCCATACAACCGACCAGTGTATCGCGCGGTTTGATAGACCATGCGGTAATTCCAGTTCCGCTGGTGGTATACCGGGGAATGTAACAGACTGATACCAGAGCGGTATTTAACCGATTTTGATGACATGGGATTGTTGGTTTTTTGTTTAAAATTTCTTTCTGTTACCTATTTGCCAATAAAAATAAACCAACTATACATAAACATTGGTTCTTTTCGAGTTCTAATACTGCTAAGAATGCAACATTCAGAGCTTATCTCATTATAACTACAGTAATTCTAACTGTATGAATAGAATTCTGAATAATACGTGAGTATCATCCGTTTCAATACCAACTGTAATCTTGTATAAACTTTTATTTTGTATAAATAGAACATATATTTCTTTATTATGATTAAAAAAGACAAAATAAAAACAGAAACGTGGGATATCTAACAAATATAACAGAGCCAAATGAATGCCGTATACGATTTTGTTTTCCGACGACGAACACGAAACGACTCTTACTGCTAATTTCAACGAACCAATTCGATAACAGACAATTTATCATCTTACTGGTAATATTCCATTTAATAAACAAATAAAAGTGCATAAAACCATTGAAATATAAATGTTTCTATTGGAATATGTCGACGATGATGAACTTAATGCTAAACTAATTACATTCGATGATGTTGAACGTTTTAAGACGGTTGACGAAGGCGAAGCGTAAAATGAAGACTTAGTTACACCGGGATCTAAAATAAATAAATAAATGCTAATAAATACTGCTTAAAATTACCGTTCATAGTTGTCACAGATCATATAAATTATACAGAACTCGGTAGGAAACTTTAAATAAAACAGAGAATGTGACATCTATTAAAACTCTTTGATACGTGAACGTTTTAACGTATATGAATGAATGTCACTATAATGACTATTCCATAAGTTGTAATTCAAATGAGCATTCAATTCTGTTCATTGAAGATAGACAGAATATAAAGATATGGAAAGTTTTCATTGCTTATCCTCTTATTAATGAACTGTACTCATAATTAATTTCTATAATGTATTCAATGATTGGTTACGGTTCATTGAACATTTGAAATTTATATATACGCATTTGAATCAGTTAATATATGAATATAGTTTGTGAAATTAACCAGCATCTCTACCTATATATATATATATATACATATATCAATGTCATCATTATACATACCTAAGTTCGAATCACCATTCACTTTCGGCCACTTTGTTATCCACGCTATTGAATATGAATCACTATGTCTTTCTGCTCTTAAAGCTGTCCATATTGGATTTCGATATTTAGATAGATCATTTGTAACAGGACGTAATGGATATGAGTCTGTCGTAGTAGTCGTGGACGAATGATCTAGAAATAAGAGAAACATTAATTAGTTAAAAACAAACTAGTTATTTATATCTTAGTAGATTTTTGATCAAATTTTTTTAATATTGTACAATCTCGTTCTACTCGTAGTTAAATAAATCTTTGAACGTAATATTTTTATTTTTCCTTGGGCAATATGTGTGTGTATATAACTGTATCAAGAGTTTTTCAATAGACGACAAGTTCTTTCTCATTCTCTCTATAGTTTGATCGTTTTTATCATGCTCAATTGCAATTAGAATAGATCGTTTCAACTTTTTGAACATAGTCTCTATATGGTCACATACATACATATATTCACGCCTTTCCCTTCTTACAATTGTCCTCTGTTCGTTATGCCTCATTTAATTGTGAAATGTGTATGTATGTCTCAACAAGTTGTTAATGATGATGTATTTTTTGCTCACACATTCTCTCAATCACCAGTTGAAATGACATACTCAGAGAAGGATTATTGTGTAACACATTTCAAGTAGAACTCGTTAGAAATTCTACACATATATACGATGTTTTGTCAATAATTTATAATCGAGTGATCAAATTAAAAAGATTTTTTACTTTATATATGTCTTATCAAAAATTTATTGAGTATTATTATTAATTACAGTTGTTGTATGAAGTGAAACTTAGATCTTAGTACATTATGATCAAAATTATAGTAATAATCATGATAAAAAAGAAAAAAAGATTCTTAGGAATTCAACAGTTCAACATACTAAAAACTGTTTTATACATGTGCATAGAAAAAGTACATATAGTGTTGTTTCTCACAATTATGAAATTGAAGCAATAATACTAATATAAAACAACTGTGAATAGTGGTGATAAATCTCAAGTTATGTTATCTGATGATATGGCAGATGGATATGTGTATGTTCATATCTTTATCTCTTTATATAACATAAAACAGGCACATTCAATTAATTAGTATCCCGCTATTTTACAAATTTTGAATCTTAGTAAATATGGATAAATAAGTAATTATATTTCTATCCTATATGATAATGATCATTAGACACTCATTTTTTGACATATTCATTGTTCAACGATATTTTAAATTAAATCAATATACTATTTTTCTATTGTGATAGGAGATAAAATAATTAAATAAAAATCATCTCTCTTTCACAATAATCAATTTTGCTTTTATTTTTTTCTGTCTCTCATGACAAGTTAACATTAACCACTATTATTATCACTGCTTATTGTCGTTTGTTACGGTTGAATAAACACTTACGTTGTTGATGACGTTTACCAACATGAATTTTTATTCGTGTTGAATATTTTTCACAACTATTAAATTCCATCTCTTGACGACCAAATCCTGTTGAATCAGATGTGGCTAAAATATGAAACCGAGAAATTCTCTTATTATTAGTTATCACTTCAAAAATATTGATTAAAACTAACTTACATATAAAATAATAAGTATGACCAGCTTTAAATTCAAAACCATTCGGTATGGGTAAATATTCACGAAAATTTAGAGTATATTTCATTATTTCATGTGGACTATTACAACTTATAACAGGACGAGTTAAAGGATTTTCACCAAATGAATAGATGCGACACGTTTCATATTCATTTTCAGTTACCTAAATAAACAACAATAAGCAATAGAAAAACAATAAATAAATTTTGTTGAAGAAATATTAATTTACTTGATAAATATCATAATATTCTATATCATTGGTCATATAAGATTGTTTTTCATTGTAATAGGGGCATACAACATCCATAGCGTCGCCTGTAAAATCATACAAACATTTCTAATTACAGAAACCGTCAACTTGTTCACCGTTTTACTTACCTAAACGAACTTCAAACGATAATTCACTGTTACGATAAGGCCTAAAGTAGACAAAAATAAAAAAGAATCAAATAACTCTTCAGAAACTGTACAGCGAACTTCACTTATATTTGCTTGACTGGTATAAGAAGATCATTCACTTTCACACACAAAAAATATATTTTTGTTCTTTGATTTTTTATATTATTAATTTCTACAGAGAGAATAACAGATCTATATCTGTTTTTGTGGTAGATGTATATGTATGTTACTTAAGGGCCACTATATGCTTTTTGATTTAACAAAATTTCAAGTATCTTCCGACTTTATCTTTTTCTGTTATGCTTCAGATAGGTTAGAGAAAGAGAGAAAAACGTTTGAAACTTTTATATGCAACCAAACACACACACAACGCTCTTGAACAGAAAATGATAGATCTAATTTAAAATCAACTTCATTTATGTTATATATATATAGACATATGCACACACACAAAACAATTAATTCAATTCAATCTATTTATTATTAAGAACAAACTGTTTCTAAAATAATTGAAAGAAAAAGAAGGAATATTACAGTGCTGGCAAAAATTATAGTGTCGCTGTATTTTTAAAATTTTTCGATGAAGTCGAGTGGCTAGATCAAATCTGAATAGTGATTTGGATAGCCCTTGAAGTTCTCTATCAAATGCAGTATATGTCAAAATTTCAGAAATAAAGTTTTGAAGAAAGTTTTCTGGTAAACCGCTCCAGTGGAGCTCTGAATCCTAGAGAATTTTTGCTAAAAATATTTTCAATATATCCAACTAAAAGAGCATCAAATTTTGAACAAAATGAGGGGTTGCTCAGCTCTTCACAGTCTTTCGTTGCAAACTCCTAGACATCAGGAAATTTCAAAGAAATATTTCTGCTTATTTTTTTGTCAATTTTTAGCGTGTTTCTAGTAAATTATACTATTTCTTCGTTATTTTTTATGCCTGTAACTTTGTAACGAAACATTGTGGAGAGCTGAGCCCTTCCTCATATTGTTCAGAATTTTATGCTCTTTTAGATATATTGAAAATATTTTTAGCAAAACTCTCCAGAATTTAGAACTCCGCTGGAGCGGTTTACTAGAAAACTTTCTTCAAGACTTTTTTTCTGATTTTGACACGTACTACATTTGATAGAGAACTTCAAGAGCTATCAAATTATTATTCAGATTTGACCTACCTGCTCGGCTTCATCGAAAAATTTTAAAAATACAGCGACTTTATAATTTTTTCCAGCACTGTAGTATAATCATTGATTCTTTCTATCACTAAAATAAGAACTTTTACGGGACAACATTGATGGAAAATGTTTTTGCTATTCGATTTGAACTGGCATTGTTTTCCATTTTCAAAGCAATTTAAACTTGGCTACTCGCTAGATATACACTGGTATAGTTTTTATTTAGAATCCTACTTTTTTTTCTCCTTAAAAAAGTCTAAAAATCTGATACGTAGTTGAAAACCTTTCGAAATACTAGTCTCTTTTTTTGTATGTTTTTGAAATTTTTCAACCATTAAGAAGGATATTTGGACTGGTATTCTTTCTTTCTAAGTAACTGTTGCCTCTGTATGCATATATAAGTGTACACACAGCATGACAGTTTGAAACAATTAAGTTGAAACGAATCCGACCTATTTACCTCGAAGGACAGGCATATACTCTATTATTTTATTTTTTTTGTTGCTGAAAGCAGCCATTTGAGACAATGAGAGAACGAAAAAAAGAAGGTATATAAACACATTAAGATTGAACAATTTCTATGTGTAAATATTGAACAAAACAAAAGTGAAACTTGAACTGATTGCACGTGTATGTGTGTGTGTGTATCACAGACAACGGTACTTATACTTATAAAGAATAAAGTCAAACTATGACGTTTTTTACGAAGAAATTGAGTTCTTAGATATACACAGCAAGGTTATTACGTCTTTGAAAAGAAGTCCAAAGATTTGGGCGAGGAGATAAGCTGCCTAGGTCAGAAATCAAAAATAATATCTAATAGTAGCCCTTAAACTGGATGAAAAGCACCTAAATGCATAGACTTCGTGAGTGCATACAACTGTTGTCTTCTATTTTGTATTGTGTTTTTGTTGTTGTCAGCATTATTCATCTCTATTTAAATGTGTAATTATTAATAAGAAAATATTATATAGCGTAACTGAATCGACGATTATGAGGAAGACAGAACAGAACAGACATTGGCTATAATCGATTTATGATGAACATTAGTGTGTATGTGTGTTTCTCTCTTTCTCTGTGTGTGTGCTGAACCAGGATTAGTAATCAAAACAAAAAACACAGATACCTCTGCACACATTCACATTGTTCATAGCAGGATTCTCGCCCGTTTATTCAAGGATAGAATATACATCTAAATATACATGCGTAAATTTCACATGTGTTCTATGCCATCGATCATCGAACATCAAAATGTATAAACTACTCAGGTTCTTTAACGAAAGCAAGCCGATGGTCATTGTAGAGAGAGAAAGAGAGAAGAATGCGTCTATCTAATGATATTCTAGAAATAACTTTAGTGTATACATGCAGTTGCTAGAAGGAAAGGCGATAGTCATCCTATACGTAATCCATTGGAGTAATTTTACCTTTTAGTACATTTGACTAACAAACAATGAATGCATGACATAAAACAAAGTTGATGACGTTTACTGTAATTCAAACGCAATACCGGTAACGTGGTATAAAAGTATAAATAGCTACACGAGAAGGATACTGAGAAATACGAAAAATGTGCTGGAGTTTAGAAGTGTCACTATCGTTTGCTATTGTTCATTTTTTGTCTGCACTCTACATAGCATACGTTCGTCCGCCTTATTATGGAAGATTTATCGTCTTTGTGTTATTTTACTTTTTCATGGAAACGTTACAAGCCATAGAATGGGCTGTGGGTGTTGAAGCAAAATTAAATTCAGCCACATGTTCAAAAACAAATACTTTGTTAACAATATTTGCTTATATTCTCATTTGGTTACAACCAGTGATGTTCACAACATTTTCTGTTAAAGGAGATAAAAGATTTCCTCTGTATTATACAATTTATACGCTCATTGTAGCTATGATCAATCTATTCGTCGGTTTTGTTAATCCAGCAGGAGGTTTGGATACCATGACTCTCACAGAAAAGAATAATTATGGTCAATATACCTGCACATATATGGGTGAATACGGACATTTGGTATGGAAATTTGCTATTAGTACATTTGTATATCAGCCAACTCATTTTGTTTATCATTCAGTTATTCTAATGATATTTATGTTTAATTATGATTTTATTTTGAAAACTACTATCGCACTCGGATGGACTCTGACATTTTTTGTCTCTCTCTATAGTGTGGGAAATGGTGCTGAGCTAACATCATACTGGTGTCTACTAAGCGTCTTTGCTGATATACCCATTCTTATTTATACAACATTTCATAAATATAATAAACAGAAAAAAGTTTAGCTCAGATATTTTTATGTTTATATTGTTTCATGAAGAAAAAAACATTAAATAGTGATAAAATTTATTACTTATCTAAAAACATTCCACTATCTATTAAAAATTGTTTTTCTCTATAGTTAAAAATAATTATTTATCTTTTTTCAAAAACGAGAATATAATCTAAACTGTCAAGTTAGTGATCTCACATATGACAAATCTTGTCGATCAATTAGTTTAACTTGTTACACGAAAAACCGAAAAATATTTAATTTTGTGTGATCAACATATTAGTTTATATGTAATGAAAAAACTGAAATCAAGCTGTCATTTGGGAGAAGTCTAAGAAAATAGTAAAATACCGAATGATAATCATTCTTTTACCTGAACGTTGTAGTATTCCAATAAAATGGTTCAAATAACAATGTGTTAATTAATTGAATATGTACAAATAGAATAATTAAAAAGCGTAAAATAGCACAACATTCATAGGTGAACATTGACAATAATAAAATTAATTTTTACATAAAACATTCGAGGATAAGTTTTTTAATACTTTATTCACAATAGCAAACACGTTCTTCTTTCTATTCAAATGAGCATAACTGAACAGTTTATACTGACCATTTTATATTTTCTCTTATATTTTTAGCTTTCTATTACAGAGAGAGAAGAAAAAAAATCCACCAAACTCTCTAATTATATGAATATAAGAAGAAGAAGAAGAAAAAAAAAGATGAATCTCTCTCTTGCGTTCTCAATATAAGAAAAAGATTAACAACTCGCAGTAGATAGATAGATACACCTTGCCTTTCCTGCTGTAAAAATAATTCTTTTTTTCATTATCATATACATGTGAAGATTTACAGCTATCGTTCATAGATAGAGAATTTTTTTTCCATATCGTTTATACCATTTTGGTGTGTCATAAACGAGTCAATTATACTACTGAACATATACAATTGATTGGTATATAGTCTATAGTTGATATATATGTGCAAAAACAGACAACCTGTTGTTAATAGAAAAAAGATGATCATAATATTCAACGACGAAAGAAGGCAATCAAATTAGAATAACTGATAACAAAAAGAAGAAAAAAAAACGAAAGAATTTTTTTTTGCGTATTATTAGTATGTACTTATCAGAATTCTACACTATGTAGACCAAAATATATATTCTCTATGTGAGAATAGATAGAATTTTCATTAAGAGGATATGAAACAAAAAAAAACCCACTATATGGGGCATCATCATCTTTTAAATTTTTTGATACTTTTTCTATCATTTTTTTTGTTGTCTATGACAAACATATGAAAAAATGTTTGATACAGCTTTTAAGATTGTTATAAAATCATCCTTCTCATATCTATACACTCGAAACTGATAATCTCTATTTCTTTTAAAATTTTCTTATTTTGCTGTATGATATCGAACATGATAAGTGACATGTTCTAATTTCACCACTCTCCTTTTCTTAATCTAACACCACAGGTTTGTTTTGTTTGATCATTCAAATATACATATCAATCGGATTATAAACTAAAACGTAGAGAAGAACATATTTATCGGGTGTCTCATATCGATAAAGGTGAAACATCGATCACCTCTCTATCCTCTTTTCTTTTTTAGTTCAAAAAATTAGCGAAATGATAAATTACGTGCACCATTGAACACATACATATACAAAAATGATAAATTCTGTTCAACAATAAAAGAAATGTGCCGCACTTTATAAATAAATGAATGAATGAAGTTCAAATAAGAATATGAAAAAAAAGATGTAACCAAAAGTCGGTTCAAATCTCATATTACATTTGTCTACAATAAAAAAAGAAAACAAGTTACCGAATAAAATATAAGTCAAAGATTTACTTTTCAAATCAGGTATAAGCTTTCAATTGCAACGTACATCAAAGAGAAAAGCGACATAGCTCGGTATTATCCATTCTAACACCAAGATGTACATTATCTTATGTATCTCGTCTAGTGTGCGATTGTCAATGGTTACTCGACAGGCATTAGAATCGATAGTTTCAACGATATGAGCTTCAAGATAGATAGAATCAATTTTAAAACTAAAGATCATATACTACCATATCAAATATTATTTTTACCTTGATGTTAGAGCGAATAGTGAAACTATACTTTGTTTACTTATGCGTGCATAATAGAACCATTATCTACGCTTTTAGGCAAATTTTTGCGAAATAAAAAAATTAAAAAAAGTCAAAAGTGTACCACTTAAACAAACGGCAAAAAGTTGTTTTTTTTATTTGTGGTTGTTTTTGATCAAAGTTAACCCGCTAATTTTACTCGTTCATCATCATAATCATCATTCTTAAGTGAAAGTTAAATTGGATACATACATGAATAATATGCCAATTTAAAAAGAAGAAATAAAATACCTATTAAATCGATATATGAGTATGCATTCAAGCGGAAAAAAGAGCAAAGTAGTTGAATCAGTCTCACTTTAAAATTAAAACGTTCCGCCTAAGAAGTGTATCATAGAAAAATCACAAACAACTTTCATTGTCATACGATGTTTTTAAAAAAATCAGCTGATTTTCTATTATATTTATTATCTAAAAACAAAATTTATGTACGAGACCATTTCTTGAAATGGAATGTTCTGTTTATTATACAATTCACAGTTGAACAATTCATATACTAGTGTGTAAATATTTCTCAAATAATTTCTTTTCGATGTACAATATGTGTGAATTTAAAAGTAAATCGATTTAACACAAGAAACACGCAACATAATCATAAGGTAGACATATTTTCATATCAACAACACACGCAAACAACTCATTCACACATTTAAGAAATATTTTCTGTGTTGTTGAATAAACGTATAATAAGTTTGTTTGTCGAATAGAATTTAGTGCTCGAAGCATTAGTTATTATTCTTAGAATAGAGTCAACTTGCTCAATGTATTCTATTTTGAAGAAACAGCAGTGATAGTCATCTTAAAGTTGATTGAAACGAGGAAAAACAACAACATCAGATTAAAATCTCAGAGATTAGAGGAAGATAATAGTTCCCACATCAATTCAGTGAATATAGTCACACATAGTGCGCACTGCGCATAGCCTAAAGCTTCTCAAATCAGCCGGGATAGCCATTTGAGGTGAAACGAAGAACAGACTAATTCTTAGTCTTTCTAAGTAAAAAAGTAACCATTTCTGAATTAGATATTAAACATCATTTTTTTTCGCCTGACAATTAAATTGTAATATGATTTTTGACTTTTCATAAATAAATTGAGAGGACATCATATGAGTTCTCATCGTTTAATTTATAATTGAAATAGTACACTTTCATTGGCTAGACAATGTTACCTAATTCATGTAAAACTATAAAAAATTTAAAAAAAATTACATTTTCTATTTGTGTTCAATAAAGACTATAAGAGCTGGAGTAGTAGAGTGAAAACGATAAATCTCGAAACAAATATTTGATTCTTAACAGTATGGTACTAATTTTGAAATCAATACACGTATAGAGAGAAAAATGACAGAATATCATGACCTTCATTTTCTCCCTTTGTTTACGAAAGGTTCAGTTACAAATCTTTAGACTAGATATGCTAATAAGTATGTGTATTATATCAGCAAGATACTATCATTTTAAGTGTTGTGTACACATATGACAAGGCTGTTATAAATAGACAACCCATCATCTACGTTTTTCTATTAAAAAATGACGTTTCAAAATTTAGAAGGAAAGATCTATAAAAGTATCTTCTAATCTCTCTGATTATTCTATTTTTTTTGCACAATAAATTACATACTGTTGCTCTATTTCAACTACTGGTTCATCCTCTATATGTCGAATGATGATGATTTTTCAAAATATCATTCATATACTCATTGTGGTTCTATAACTTTTATTTAGATAAAATAAACTATCGATTTATAATTTGAAGAGTTCCTCGTTATCATTCGAGACTATTTTTAATATTATTTATTTCATAATTAATACCTATGCTATTAAACATATATACTTAGAGCAAAAAACTCATTAACCTTAAACTAATTATTTCCGACAAAGAATAAAGAATTTCGTTCGATCGTCACATTGTTCAAGACTTGAAAAGGGCAAAATTGTGTTGATAGTAAATATAATAGTGTAATCATACATACACATACATTGTTAGCAAATACATAAATATGGTTACCATATGACCAACCAAAGATGAACATTAACTTCATCACCATCATCATTATCATTTTTATTATTATTAGTATTATGTAAGATAAAAAGAAGACAACGACTACTCTCTTACATAAAATTCATGTATACCAAATTAGTTTGTCTACTGCACAATACATATTAGAAACCATGACTTTTTCCAGAGGGAGAGAGAGATGATTTAAGATAAAATCGACACATCAATTTAAAATTATAAGTGAATTTATTACAAACGAGTTTGAAATATTCTAGAAACTATCTACAAGTATCGATCTTATAATTACTAGTCTCAACTATTGTCCAAGATATGAACTAATCTAAATTTATCACCGTAGTCAATATTAAAATTAAAAATTTAGACTCATTTCTGCCGACGATTTTTGTTAAAATGATATTTCAAAACCAAGTATAAATCCTTTTAAATAACATGAATAATACAAAAATTATACTCATTGTGAAATCGTGATTCCTGAGGTATCTTAATTATAGCTTTTGCTGATTTTGTTTTGTGAAACTTCTGTTTCTTTTTCGATCTAAATATATGAAAACGTGCCTGTGTACTGAAATTATTTATTTATTCCAGTTAAGAGCACGCACGCGTACGCTTATCAGATTGTTTTTGAAACTATCGAGTTTAACGCAAAAAAAAAAATAATAATAATATATAAGCTCATATATCCGTAATCAGATAGATCTAAGCAGAGATATTTCAAACTAGTAAAAACATGTAACCCTTATACATAATTTTCTGAAACAAATATTCTTCAAAATCATTTACAATAATGCAGTTTATAGTTTTGAATTAATGCTTGAAGATGTTAAT